AGAATTTCTAGGGGCATCGGGATACTGTTGGTTATGGATACCAGGATTTCCTGAGATTGTCAAGCCCCTATATTCCACCACAGCAGGGAATCAACCTCTGACATGGACTGCCACTGTGGAATGAGCATTCCAGCAGTGAAAGATGGCTCTTACACAAGCCCCAGTTTTCGCCCTCCCAGATGTTACAAAGACCTTCTACTTGTTTATTCATAAACACTGAGGAATAACAAAGGTGGTTCTTACCCAGACTTAGGACCTTGGCGGTGACCAGTGGCTTATTTGTACAAAAGGTTGGATCCAGTGGCCTTTGGATGGCCATCCTGTCTTCCAGCCATCGCCACCACTGCTATACTGGTTAAGGAGGCAGACAAACTGACTTTTGGTAAAAACCTAACCCTTTCTCTCCTAATGAGAGTCTCAATACAGTCACTCTAATGCCCGATGATAATCTGACGACTCCAGTTCATAATTGTGAGGACGTGTTGAATGTCTCCCAAGTCAACCGTCCCGATCTTCAGGACACTTCCCTGGACTGAGCTGATGCTGACCTGTTTGTTCACAGATGGCAGCAGTCAGGTGGTAAAGGGAGTTCTCAAGGCTGGCGGAGCGGTGACCACAGTTCAGATGTAATCTGGTCACAGTCTTTGCCCAGCAGCACATCCACCCAGAAGGCTGAGCTAATTGCTTTGACCAAAGCCCTGCTGGGGAACAGGAAAACAGGCAATTATCTTTACTGATGGCAGGTACACTTTTGTCACTCTTCATGTCCATGCCATGATCTACCGGGAACGAGGACTCCTCAACATGGCAGGTAAGACAATAAGAAGCAAAGAGGAACTTTTAGCCCATTTAAAAGCTATATGGCTCCCCAGGGAGGTGGCAGTCATTAATTACAGAGGACACCAAAAACCAGACACTCCAGAGGCACCAGGCAATTGCCTAGCTGACGAGGCTGCTCAAGAGGCGGCCGATCTCCCAGTCGAGCCCCTCACTATCCTACTCACTAAAACCTTCCCAGTCCCTTCGCTCCCAGGACAACCCACATACACCCAGGAGGAAGAACAGCAGGCTGGCCAATCAGGTGCACAAAAAGGGACGTCAGGAGGGTGGACAACCAAAGACTCTAAAATTATCCTCCCAGCTGTCCTTGGACTTACTCTGGTAAATCAACTTCACTCTACCACACACTTGCGAGGTACCCGAATGACTGAAATGCTGAGCGGTTTGTACTATATCCAAAATCCAAGAGGTCTTACCGCATCTGTAAGACAACTAAAAGAATGGAATGACATGCCTGTTAGCAAACCAACCATGGTGACTACTGCCCCAACCGTCCAGTAAGCAGTAAACCACATCCTGCTTGATCGAAAGCCCAGATAAGCTGTTCTATAAATGCTTGAGATAAACTGTTCTGTAATTGTTACTGTTCTGTTGACTGCTCTGTAACCAAGATTTCCTGTTTGCACTGCACTGGACTCTGACAAAATTGCAGTTTAGGCCTTTATGAACCCTTTGCTTGTTCCATTCTGGCTCGAGAGTTTTCCTGGCATGAGCCTGCTCTCAACCGCCGGCAATAAAGGACTCTGTAATTTTACTCCCAGAGTGATGGTGCCTCCTTAATACTCGCAGTATGTCTACAACACCACTGCACTCCAGACTGGTCGACTGAGTGAGACTCCTACTCAAAAATTAATAATTTTTAAAAAACTGCTTAAGTGCACATTTTGCTTCCTCCTCCCTTCACTAGCCTTGGATCTAGTAACTGTTGTGGGTTCTGAAATAACACAGTCATTTGCATTAGCCCCCCATAAGCAGAGTGCGCAAAGAAAAACTGCTCGTCTCTAAAAGCTTCTGGGGGTCCTAGATAAGAAATGAGTTCTGTTGAAACTTCCTAAACTCAAAAATGTTTCTCTTCCCTTAGTCTCTACATGACAAGTGCTTTCTTTCATGCCTTTGAATCAATGTGTATGCTGTTCAGTATTAAGTCTTGTGACCCAAAAACTCCTGGTGTGAGCGAAGAACTATATTCAATTGGAAAGCACCCCATTCCCAATTGTCAAAAAGTCATTGCAACTTGAAAGAGTGACAGGATTGATGTGATAGGAACACTGATTTTGTCTGCAACTGCCTACGGTATAAACTCTGATTAGAAAACATATAAAGCCGGGCTCGGTGGCTCAGCCTGTAATCCTGCACCTTTGGGAGGCTGAGGTGAGTGGATTGCCTGAGCCCGCGGGTTCGAGACCCACCTGGGCAGCGAGACCTCATCTTTACAATAAATCAAAAAATCAGCCGGGCGTGGTAGCGCATGCCTGTAATTCTGGCTACTCAGAAGGCTGAGGCGGACAGATCGCCAGAGCCCAGCAGGCGAGGCTGCGGTGGCCAGGAGTGGCCACTGCACTCCAGTCTGGGCGACCGAGTGAGACTCCAACTCAAAAAAAAAAGAAAAAGAAAAAGAAAACATATAAATAGTGGTCACAAATCACGTAATTGCTATTAATCACTAGTTAAGATCGATAAGAAAATGCCTGTTTTCCTATAAATACTGGGATGGGTTTGTGTTCCTTTGAGCGGGCTGTGGTCCAAGTACCAAGTCGGTGTCCCTGAATTATGAATTCAGGTTAAGCTTCTTTCCTCCCCGTTTCCTGCCTGTCGCGTTTCATTGGCGAACCACAGAAAGCAGCCCAGTGTTGACCCGGCTGCCTCACTAGCCCACCTCTTCGCTGGGTCCAAAGCCAGTTTGTCAGGGCACCGCCTCTCGTTAGTCTCCTCCCTATGGTAGGCCCCACCCTCGCCACTAGACTTCTACCGCGTCCAGTCCTGCCCACTGTCACAGGCCTGACCCAGCCTTTCTCGGAGACCCGTCTCCTCCAGGAAGCCTTCCGCCTCGCACAGAGACCGACCCCTCTTACCAGGGCCCTCGCCTGCTGTCCGTCAGGCCCTACATTATTTGCGGCCCCAATTGTGCTGCTGGACCCGACGAACAGGGTTCACTGTGAAGCCCATGTAGATGCGAACCCGGTGCCGAGGATTTAAGCAATAGAGCAGGTAGACGTTGAAGAAGCGCCCGTGCCCTCTCTGTGCCCCCGGTAAGGACCCATCGTGAGCAGCGGTCAGGGATCGCAGCTGGGTTGATTGCTGTGACCAACACCCGGGGAGGGCTGGGTCGCCAGGGCTGCAAGATGCTTGTTTCCGGCACGGTCCCGGGGCACCTCGGAGGCCACGGCAACGCGGGTTCGCGCACCCTCTCCTGGCTGCAGGGAGGTTTCAAAACCGCCCCGTCGCGCGCTGGCTGCTGGGCAGGCGGCGAGCGCCAGCCAATGAGCGTCGGCTCCTGCGAGTCGGGCTTATGCACTCTCGCGAGCTTATGCACTCTCGCGAGCTTATGCACTCTCGCGAACTGGGGGCAAGCGCAGAAAGCCTCGGCTGTTGGAAGAACCCGACTTCCGGAGGGTGGAAGTGCTGCGTTAAGGATGTCTACAAAGGGCGGAAGCAGGTGGCCCAGCAGAAGTAGCTCCTGTACGGGCGGAGGGTGGTGTGACCGGGGTCAGGGCTGAGGTTTCATGGTCCCAGCTGGGCTGCCGCTATTGAAGTCGGCGCCTGAATACCTCAGGGAGAAGCTGCACTGGGACCGGGAAGCGGAGCACGTGGTGAGCTGAGCCTCTGGACGAGGGACAAAGGGCTTCTGGGGGTGGGGGGGGGGAGAAGGGGTTCGGCTGCCTTCAAATTATTCCGTGTGGTAGGAGGGGGAGGATACGAGCCTCATTCGCTGCGTGTCCAGCTTCCAAGTCCTGGTGGTGTCGGCCAAGGTCGAGGGGAGGCCGCTACTTCAGAGACACAGGTGAGGCCCGGGGAACGCCTTACGCAGCTCCCAGACCACAGCCCCGGCCACTGCCCCTTCCCTGACAACCTCACTCTCTCACCCTCTCCAACGTGACTCTGGCCTTGAGGATTCGGCCTTCGTGGCCCCAGCTTCGAGGGTTTCAGTTATGGCCCACTCCCCACGTGGTCCTACGTCCTCTGGACTACAACCACCGGACTCTACAGTCCCCATGATCACACTAGCGTTAGGACCGCGCCCTAAACCCTGACCTGATATTTCCTAACCCCATCTCTCGCCCCAGGGTGGTGAACGATTGCCTAGCCAAAGCGCTCCTGCGTATCCATGCCTTTGAACAGAAAACCCTGACCCCAGAGCAGTGGATGGACACCAGAGCGGCAGAAATATGGAACTGGGGTCTGCACAGCCATTACATTGTAAATCAGGACATGCTTCTATGTCAGTGTGTTGTGTATGAGAGGGCGAGGGGGGCACTAGGCTGAGTCTAGGACTTGCCCTCCCAGCAAACCCACAGTGGGAAGATTCCTCACTCATCTAAGTGTAATCACGCTGCCATTATGGTTTGGTTTGAAATCAGGGGGGTGTATTCAGCTGTGCCTGAGGAGGTCAGGGTGCTACACTTGATCTTTTTTTGAACTTTTTATTGCATTATATCATATGCTAAAAGAAAAGTACAAATAAGTATACAACTCTGAAATTTTCCCAAACTGAACACTTCTGTAACCAGCAGCCAGAGTAAGAAACAATATGAACAGCCACTCAGAAGCCACCCTGTGTACCTTTCTACATCCTTCCCCCAGGGGTCCACTGTCCTGATGTCTTGCCAGTCTGTTTAGCCCGGCAATCCCAGGACATTGGGCAGAAGGGGCTGGGCTCATGCTGGGCCCTTGGTGCTCACCGAGGAGGTTGGGCCTCCCAGCCAGGCTCTGTAGCAGCTCAGTGCAGCTTGGGTCTGGGGGCAGGCACACATCTCTGGTGCCTCAGGGGCTCCCTTCGATTTCACAGTGGTCAGGACCTCCAGCCTGTACAATGACTCAGAGACCACACACAGAGAGGTGTTGATCCCCTGTGGATCGGGAAGCCTGGTGACAAGTGAGGGCATCAGCTGCAAGTTAGGGACTGGTGTCCAGGTGCCGGGAATAAGCTTTGTTCCACTTACAGGCTCCACCCCTCTGTGAGACCATTCCAGCCTCAGGGGACTATGTGGTCAAACTTGGAGACAAGGTGGTGGCCTTGGTGGTAAAGTCTGTGGATGGAGACGAGCAGTGTATCCTGGCTGGGGTTGTCTGTTACAGTAGCGCAACCGACAACTGAGTGCCCGCCAGCCCTATGGGCTGTCCTCTTTTCATACCTACTTAGCCACTGCTTTGTTGCCTAATGGCAAATTGGGAGGAAAGCTCCCCACGGGGTGCTATGGGGTGATGGCATGTGAAGGGAGCTCTGCTCTCCCTCTCTCCCACACTAAGACTGTCCTCTTGCTGCATTTTCCTTGTGATCGTCGGCAGGTATGAGGTAGATGACATGGATGAAGAAGGTGAAGAGAAAGTGGCAGTGGAAGTCTGGGAGACAGCCTAGTTGCTGGGAAGGGGTCTAACCCTGGCCATGCATTACGCGAGCCCTCCCCACCCCAGGAGACACATCCTGAGCCGGTGGAAGATCATCCCACCACCCCAGTGGAAGGCCAACCCTGAGGCAGACCCCGAGGCCTTATTCCAGAAGAGGAAGCTCATTGTGGCCCTGTATCCCCAGACCACCTGCCATGCACTCATCCACACACCCCCCACAACGTGTAAGGACACACCCACAGGATAGGACGTTCCTGACACTATAACCAGGCTGACCAGGCGGGAGTCATCTTCCTGCTTCTTCCCATTTTTATCTCATTTCAAGCCTCCAAGCTGAAGGATCTGGAAGCTGCCCTCCCTCTTCTGCTTTCCCGAGTTTGTTCTGTCAGCCCCTCCAGCCCTGCCAACCACCCTCCACCCTCTCCTTGCCATCACTGAGATCCCTAGCAAGCCCCACGTGGGCCTACCGTTCTTGCAGTCTCACTGCACTTCTGCATTAAGAGGAGATCAAACCTCAAGGTAAAAGGTTCATGCTCCTAATGACTGTTACTGTGGATGCACATTGCCTGAGGGCAGGATCCCTGCCTATCGTCCTCTGTGTGGTCTTTAATCCCCTTAACACGGGGGCCACAAGCAGCACTAAGCCTTTCAGTTATGGCCCAACTGTATAGCGAGCGAGTCTACCTTTTCTGTGCTCTTAATCCTTTATCCTTGGCCTCTGTTGCTAAGAGCTCTGGTGCGCAGGGACTGAGGCCAAGATATCTTGACTCAAGTGAAAGATGACAACAGGAGCACTTGCCAGCCCATGGCCCCAAGGCCCTGTCATTCTAGGGCAGTGCAGGGAGAGGACAGGCTGACCTGGCCTGAGCTACTTTGACCAGCCCCTCCCGTCTGCTCTGCTGCAGCCCCAGGATGACTACTCAGTGCTGTGTGAGGACACATCCTACGCAGATGGCTCTTCCCTTCCTCTCAATGTGGCCCAGAGGTATGTGGTGGCTTGTAAGGAGCCCAAGAAAAGGTGAAGTCGCTGACAGACTGGACATCTCTGCCCCTCTCAGGGGTGGTAACAAAGGAAGTTCTGTGATTCAATAAACACTCTTCCCCATCGCCCGCTTCTCCTGGGTTGCACTTCGGCAGGCCCTCTTTCCCTTCCCCAGACAGGGCAAGTTGGGGAGCTGGAGTCTGGGGAGAGGGTGATGGCCTTATTTGGTACAGTGATAATTTACTCAATCAGCTTGGTTTTTCTCATGGCTTCCAACAGAGGGTCGGTGTTGAACACAACTCACATTTTATTCTTAAGCCCATGGGACATCCAGTTTCCCACATTCCCTTTGGAGGGGTCCCCAGGGAACACCCCCCCTCAGCTATGAGCAGAAGGTGAGGTGGCAGCCTGCCATCTTCTCAGCATAGTGGGCGTCGAAGCGCTCATTCTAGGCCACAGTGAAGGTGGTTTTCCAGTCTCTGGTGATACCTTGGGGAGGGCAAGGGAGGCTGGTGTTGCACTGCAGAGGGGGCTCTGAGTGGCTCAGGGTGAGTTCCAGCTGCTGCTCCCACCCTCCCCAAACCCCTGTGCTGGCGAGGCACCCACCTTTCCACATGAAAGGGGAGTTCTTGTGGTCCATGACTTCGAGGGGAATGGAGCTGTATTTGCACATGGACTTCTCCATCTCCTCGAACGAAGTGTGCTGGACGATGTGGCCCACAGTTTCCTCTGGCAGGGAGCGCCCCACAAACTCCAAGACCTTCAGAATCTCTCTTTTGGGGTTCTGGAGCAGCAGAGGACTCTTCAGTAAAGGTTTGGGTTGCTCAATAGGCAACCAAAACCCTCAAAAAGGAACTGCCCACTTCCACTAGGAACCTCAAAGCCAGGTCCTTGACTCTGGTCCTCTTTCCCTGGAGCAAAATTAATTGCTGTCTGCCTTGCAGTTTGTAATAATCAGTGTTTGGTTCCTAATGGTTGTCACAGTCTTCCATGACTGTGGGTCCAGGGATTGACACACCCTTTGGCACCGACGAGCAATAGCAGTAAACTGCTGTCATTTACCACGTGGAGCTCGCTCAGGTGCTAGGAGATATGAGCTGTGCATCAATGTGGCATCGCAGCTGAGGATCCTAGGCCAGAAACGCTGGATGAGAAATCCAGGACTAGTGTGGGGGCTGTCCCAGGGGAGGGTGTAAGAGGCTTCTCAGGGCCTCAGAGTTACTGTCTCTCAGGTGTGACCTGGAAGGAAGCAGTAACTGATGGTCTCACCTCCTTCATGTCCTCATAGAAGAGGTAGAGGACAGGGTGGTTGTGACTCAGCTCCCACCATTCCCTCACATGCTGGTACCAGGATCCATGAGACACTGCATAAAGGACACAGGGTTGGTCATCATTTTGGCTAGCTGCTCCTTGGCTCCAGCCCCGCTCCACCTTCCACTGTCAGGCACACCTTCTCCTGCCATGAACTTCTCCAGGAAGTGGTCCCAGGTGCCAGGCTCAGGATATAGCTTGGCCATACGGTAGAAATGGTAGTAGGAGACGGCCACATCCTTGGCATTGCGGGCAACATAGACTACCTGCAGGGGCAGAGGAACCCCACCCCCAGCACCATCACCACACAGCACGCCTGACACCAGTTTTGCTTTTGTTTTCGCAAAGTGCGAATCGGCTTAGAAGCGGGCTTGAGATCTCATGGAAAAATTATGAGTGGAATGGGGTCTGAACACTGCTCTGATGGCAAAGTCCTGGCTTGTTCCTGGAACCATGTTTTATTCTAATTTAACATCCATTCATGCCAAAATGCCCACATTTAGAGCAAGGCATGCCGCATTCCTACCAGCCCCCTCCTCCTCAGACCTATGGGCTCCCAGACTCTGCTTTCTTAGGTGTGAAGAGTCTCACTTTCCTGGTCATCTGACCCTCACCAGGGCAAGAGGCAATTGGTCTCTCCCATTAAGCTGAGATAAGGTTCTGGCTGGGCCCGGTGGCTCATGCCTGTAATTCCAGTACTTCGGGAGGTGGAGGAGAGAGACTGCCTGAAGACAGGGTTTCGAGACCAGGTTGGGCAATTTGGTGAGACTTCGTCTCTACAATAAATTAAAAATTAGCTGAGTATGGTGGGGTGTGCCTGTGGTTCCAGCTACTTGAAGACTGAGGTGAAAGGATCACCTGAGCCCTGCAGGTTGAAGCTACAATGGCTAAGAGCATGCGACTGAACTCCAACCTAGGCATCAGAGTGAAACTCTAACAAAAAAAAAAGAGAGAGAGGTGAGAGACAAGGATCAAGGAAGTGAGGAGACCTTACCAGAAAAACAGGCCAAAAGCTAGGATGGCCCAGGAGCCTCGTTCCTGGCTGCCCTTGCCACTCACCTTGACCTTCTGTTCCAAAACAGTCTGAGGCAGCAGGGCCAGGGGCAGGCGTGTCTTGATGAGACGTGGGGCCGGTTTATCTTGCAGAGTCTCTGTACCCGAACCACATTTTGGGAAAGGTCTAGTGAGCTGGAGTCTCAGTCCTGTCTCCCTCTCCTCCCCTTGCCCCCAGCACACTGCCACACACCTGAGGGAGGCCCTGGGACACGGAGCTCAAGGCCTGACCCGAGTGAAGATGGGGTCCCTGTTACACTTCTCTATGTCACCGCCCTGGTAGATCATGTCCAGTATGTGGCTGATCCAAGTGGCGCCTATGGTGGGAGGGAGGAAGGTGAGAGGTGAGCAGGGCTGAGGGCGGCACTGCTGGCCAAGGTAAGGACTGCAACCCAGGAGGGGTGGGTGGTCCTGCTTACCTACCTGACTGTGGGTAGGTGCTGATCAGCAGGTCATCAGGCCGGGCCTGGAAGCTCTCCAGCGACCCCAGCCCCTTTGCAATGTACTTGATGAACGGGACCCCCTTAACATACTCCAGTGGCGGGCGGGAAGTGTCCAGGTCCAGCACCATGCTGCTGCTGCGTCAGGGTCCAGAGTCTGACCTTCCCTTAATACTGTTATGACAATACAATTTGCTGAATTCTTACTTTAGGATGAGGACATTGAGGTGTAGGGCGATTGAGCCACCTGACCAAACTACTAAGTTAGTAAGTGGTGGAGCTGGGATTCAAAACCAAATCTAACCGTAGTGCAGTGGTTCCCAATTCTAGCTGTCCCTTTAATTTACCTGCAGTGATTTTTCTTTTTGAGTCAGAATCTCTGTCACCCAGGCTGGAGTTCAGTGGCATGATCAGATTCCACAGTCTCAACCTCCTGGGCTCAGGCGAATTTCAACTTTTCCTGTAGCTGACACCACAGGAGCATGCCACAAAGCCAGGCTAATTTTTTAAATTTAGTGTAGAAAGGAGGTCTTGTCATGTTGCCCAGGCTGGTGTCGAACTCCTGGGTTCAGGCAGTAGTGTTGACTCAGCCTCTGAAATGCTGGGATTACAGGCATGAGCCAGCACGCCCGGCTCATTCACCTGCAGAGCTTTACAAAATCCCAATACCCAGGCCCAGTCCAGCTAAGGCTCCCTCTGAGTGGGGGCAGGGTCCAGATGCAGGGTTTTTTTAAGCTCTTTGGAAGATTCCAGCCTGCATTTAAGAAGACTCTAGGACCTGCCTAACCTAACTCCTTGCCAGCATTGCCTTATTACTTCCTGCTGTGGTGCCCAGCCCCCGTCCAGTGGGCTCCTCTACCACCTCTCCCTTCCTTGAGCTCCACAGGCCCCTCACATGTGGATTCCTCCCCGGTGGTCTGGCCTCTGATCCCACTAGCCCAGCCACACACCACATTTTGATTGAGAGACAAGTAGAGCCGATTGAGCCACTGAGTTTGCTTTTGTTGTCAGGGTCTAGTATAGGAATAAACAAAACTCTAATGTCTCAGTAGAAGGAAAGGGTGGAAACCCTCATCAGACTGGAGTGTTTGAAATGGTATCTGTACAAGAAAAGGGCAGGGATGTCAGAGAAGGGAGCAGAACCATAGGAACTGGTTTCTGCCTTGGGAACTTTGCAGCCAGGATCTCAGTAGGGTGAGGGCGGCTTGGTTCAGCTTACCTACACTTTGACACTCACCTGATCTCCCAGGTACCTGGCTCTGTGCCCTCCTTGGTGTGCTATAGCTTAGTGAGTTGGTGTGGCCAGTGCTGAGCAGATTGCTGTGACAAAGGTTTTGTGGGTAAAAAGTTGGAGGGATCTAAGCCAGGGCTGGGATTTGGCTATTATAGCGAAAGAAAAGGGTGGAGTCTACGGTACCTCCTTCCGCTTCGGCCTTCCAAGTAGGTAGAACTACACACATGTGCTACCACGCCCAGCTAATTTATTTGATTTATTGTAGAGACTAGTTCTCACCACGTTGCCCAGACTGGTCTTAAACCCAAGGGCTCAGGCAGTGCTTTCAACTACGCTTCCCACAGTGCCATGATTACAGGTGTGAGCTACTGTGCCCAGCTGGTGGTGGATTGCAAAGAGGGGACAAGCATGGATAGTTGAACTACTGAGCTTGCTTTTGGGGGCTGGAGTCTGGAATTGAAATTAGCAAAACTCTGATGACTCAGAAACAAGAAGGAACGAGGACCCTGGACAGTCTTTATGTTTTATTTTATTTTTTGAGTCAAAGTCTCACTCTGTCATCGAGGCTGGAGTCCAGTGGTACAATTACAGTCACTACAGCTTCGAACTGCAGGGCTCAGGCAATCCTTCCCTTCAGCTTTCCAAGTAGTTAGAACTACTGGTGTTGTACCACCATGCTCAGCTACTTTTTGGATTTGTAGAGATGAGGACTCACCGTTTTCCCAGGCTGGTCTTGAACCCATGGACTCAAGCAATCCTTTAGCCTTCACCTCCCAATGTGCTGAGCCACAAGTGTGAGCCACCGTGCCTGGCGATTCTGGACAATTTGAAAGAATGTGTGACCTCAGAGGCAAGCTGGAGAAACCTTAGGCAGTGGGGGCTCCAGTCATAGGAGAGCCTGCTCAAATGCCTCCTCAGTTACCCTCCCCCATACTCCGGGAACTAAACTGGCTAACTCATGCTGAGCATTAGCAGCGATTATGAAATAGCTGGGCCACTGCAGCCAGGCCTGCAGTTCCCTACAGGCTAGGTGACCTCAGCCAGATCACTTAGTCTCAGAAGGTCAAATACTCAGCTTATCTATATTTAGTGTGAACTGAGTAGAAGCCAGGCCCATCATGTGCTACTTGATTAAATATTTATTGACCAGCTACTCTGTGAGGCACCTTGTTCTAGTAGTGAACAAGAGATGCCCTCTGGGAGTTTAGTATAGGGGCTGGTGGGAGACACTAATGATATAAAGAGCTCAATTTTAACTATCGAGCCAGGGAAGACGTCACTGAGAAGGTGGCATGTTATCAAAACAGAAGGTCTAATGAAGAAGCTTGCGGTCAAAAGGAATAGACAAAGGCCCTAAGCAAGTATTGGCAAGTCCTAGAACGGCCACAAGCACCATCATCACCATTTTCGAGATGGGAACATGGTCGACAAAATGTGCCAGTAGAATGGTCCCTCAGCAAACAGCCTGACCTAATGTCGTCTACAGCCTAGACCAGCCCCCACCCGGGGTGAATCTCACATACGTCGTTGGGGCACATAGAGTGCAGAATGAGGCCTCTGTGACATACTGATTCAGTTCAGGCTTGGTGTCAGCAAAGGGACCGGTTGGTGTCTTGGAGCTGAGGTCCAAGGAGGTGGTGTCCAGCATGTGTGACTGCGGCGGCAGGCAGACATCACGAGGAATCTGGGTGCAGCCAGCGCAGGTAGAGCAGGAAGCATCACCAGGACGGGCAGGCAGCATGTGCACCGACACACACAGGTGGAAAACGATGGAAAGCGAAGGCCGCCTTGCAGGGCAGGTGCGAACAAAATGAGGCAAGCTGCGCGAGGCCTGCGGCTGTCGCGATGCCCACTCAAACTGCCGGCGGAGGGCACCAGAGCGGGGGGAGGCAGCTAGGGGCAGGCCCTAAACCCTGGCATGCCTTTCTCAGCCCAAGGGCAGACACTGGTGCTGGGAAGCCATGCACGATAAGCACCTTCTCCCTGGGGAGGAGAAAAGGGTGTAGTCTGTGAGTCCTGCCCTCACACCCAGTGGCAAGCCAAATGTGCTCCCCAAGGTTCTTCAGTCATCACACAGCCATCAGACCTAGCCCCACCCCCTTCACGGGGATTCATCCCCCTTGCACAAATTCAGGTCCTGCCTCCAGTGTTCTAAGTACTTGAACTAACTTTCCCTTCTAGGCTCTATTCCAAATCCCCAATTCCCATGTTGCCGGACCCCAGTCCTGATCATCAGGTCCTTTCCTGTGATGAAGAGACCTACAATATCAAACCCCCTATTACTCTAAAATTGTAGCTAAGGAGGATTCGACATGCAGCCTGTGATTCCAGAATAGCTCTTAGCAAATGAACACCACTCCCGAGAAACTACAGAAAATAGAAATTGCTTACTTATCATCTCTTGCTAGGCCAGTTTTGATCAAATGGAATGTTTAAGGTTAAATTTAGAAATTTTCCTTTGTGATTAAGGCTAAACGTAAGACTACTTGAATAGCCCAGCTCAGTGGCTCACGCCTGCATCCCAGCAATTTGGGACGCCGAGGTGAGAGGACTCAGAGTCCAGGGGTTCAAGACCAGCCTGGGAAACTTGGAGAGACCTCATCTCTACACTACATCAAAAATTTAGCTGGGCGTGGTGGAGGGCGCCCATAGTTTCAGCTACATGGAAGGCTGAGGTGGAAGGATCACATAAGCCTAGCGAGCAGATGCTGTGGTGGCCGTGAGCATGCTAGTGAAATGCCTGTTAGCAAAATAACCGTGGTGACTACTGCCCCAACCGTCCATTAAGCAGTAAACCACATCCTGCTTTACAGAAAGCCCAGATAAGCTGTTCTGCAGCTGCTTGAGGTAAACTGTTCTGTAATTTTTACTGTTCTGTTAAGTGTTCTGTAACTGAACAGCCCAGATAAGCTGTTCTGAAACTGCTTGAGCTAAACTGTTCTGTAATTGTAACTGCTCTGTAACCAAAATCTCCTGTTTGACCCACATCTGACCTTGATGAAATTGTGGTTTTGGCCTCTATACACCCCTTGCTTGCTCCATTCAGGGTCGAGAGTTTTCCTGGCGTGAGCCTGCTCGCGACTGCTGGCAATAAATTACTCTGTAATTTAACTCTCAGTGTGATGGCAATTCCTTAGTGCTCGCAATTCAGCTACAACATTTGGAAACCCCAGCAAGATTGGCAAAGCTCAGGAAAGAGCCTCACTCCAGCTCTCTCTGACTTTGTTGAGAAGTTATAAGGGAGGTGTCCCCTGAGACTTCCTGCCTGGAGGGATCTGGAATGACCACCGACTTCCCTTCACCCAAATATATTTGAGTTCTACATTTCCTGCAAGGAAAGATTTCAGTTTGGTTTCTGTCTGTATCTCTGTTTGTTGGGGGAACCCAGCCTGATGAAGCCGCCCCAGAGTCACTGTTCATTAAGTCAAGATGTTGACTGAACAGAGACATCTGACTCTTTACTCCCGATTCTCCTCCTTAATGTTGCGTTTTTCCTGTATACCTCTGTCAGAACTTCCGATCTGACTCACTGCCTCTTTCTCATCTGTTTCTCTCAGTATGTGATCAGGTCTTTCTCGACCTTCTGGTCCCCTGGATTGTATGATAAAAAACTTTTCTGCTGGATTTAGTGAGGACTATGGTGTCCGCCTTTCAAAAGGCAGGCTTTGAACCCTCTGTGAGCCAGACTGGCCATCATTTGATGCTGGGTGGCCCTCTACTGGGTCTCTGGATGTTCACATTACTCAGTTGGTTTCGAAAGTCATCACAGGAACTCCCAGATTAATTCTCTTATATTGACTAGTGGCTGGGTTTGGTTCAGAACCCCTTCCCTGGTTAAAAGTATGTTCCCTTGAGTCTGGAGCACAACCTCATCTGCTTATCTCTAAGTCCCTCTGT